TGAACCCACCTGCAGATTCGGCACCTCTATTATAGCGATTATCCTCCTCAAACACCACTGAAAATTCCCCAAGAAAAATTATAAAAGAAAATCGTAACTTTAATTATAGACGCAGGAAAGTTTACACGCGCCATAATCAGGAACTTTAAATCAGCCTGGACGTGTAGAGCCATTACTACTGACTTTAACGCACCTTTATAAATCTTAACAGCGGTTTTGTTGCAATTTCTGAGATTGCAAGATGTGGAATATTTATGATTTACTTTCATATAAAATCACGGTAGTTTTTGATTGCAAGATGTTGATTTCTGCCTCCAAAAAGTTGTTGTTTGTTTTTAAATTCTTGCAACATCAGGTTTTTCAAAGAAGCGTTAAATATAACGAGTAGTTTTAATGTTAAAATTATTGCAACACCTGAGATTGCAAGATGTTGATCACAAACAGTTGTTCTAACGGGAAAATTGCAACATCTGATAATGCAAAACGTAAGCTATGCAAGATGTGTGTAGACATGTTATATTTGCATTATAAAGAACCTTGCAACTTCATAATTACATCAAAAGATCTATGGTCCATCAATAGTGAACTTTTGCAAACAGGCTGACAGACGCTCACTCCTGACTATTACTAACTCCTAACTATCTTTTTGGTTTACGACATTAATTGACAGCTCCTGATTGGCGACTTCTCCCTAGAAGACAGCCAATCAGTGTATCTCTCCATTTGACAGCCAAACACATACTCCAACAGCCAGACAGACCTGATACTTGGGATATTACCCGACATTGATATCAACGTTAACAGCAACTTAAGTAAATTTGCTGATGACACTAAAATAGGACGTGTAATTAAATCTGACGAGGACTCCGCAAAACTACAGGAAGATCTAAACAAATTTTTCGAATGGTCTGAAAATGGCAGATGAAATTCAATGTGGACAAATGTAAAGTACTCAGTATAGGAGATGTAAACAGGGAAACCAGATACCAGGTGAACAACGATGTTATTGAGAAATCCGACAGCGAGAAGGATTTAGGAGTAATGATAAGTAGGAATCTTAAGCCAAGTAAACAATGTGTATTTGCTCGAAACAAGGCTAATAAAGTACTTGGGTTCATACAAAGGAGTGTTAGTTACAAGACTAGCAAGGTCATCCTAAAACTATATCTTGCGCATGTGAGACCCCACTTTGATTATGCAGTTCAATTCTGGTCACCGTATTACAGAATTAATATAGAATCCTTGGAAAGAATTCAGAGACGGACAAGACTAATCCCGGGCATCAGGAACCTTGAGTACAGAGACAGGTTAAAGCGTCTTTATCTGCACTCCCTCGAGAGACAGAGTGAGGAGCGATATGATAGAGGTGTATAAATGAAGTCCGGGCTAAACAAAGGGGACATTACAAAGGTACTCAAACTATCCAACCAGGAGCGAACTCTTAACAATGGTTTGAAATTAGACAAATTT